GGGGGGGGGGGGGGGGGACAGAAGAGTGTATCAAAGACGGAGGTAGATAAGGTGGAAAAAAGGCGGAATGAGTACTGTAAAAGTAGTCGAATATGACATACAGTGGGGTCATGGTAGTTTGAAGTCAACTGCCAGGTAATAGACTTTTTTGCCGTATGAGTATACGTTGCCCAGGGTGCACCACGTGGAGGTAAGTCTATCACACACCCCACCTCCACAAGTATAAATTCTTGATTACTGATGCCATATCCTCTTAAACGTCAGACCCACTCACCTCCCATATGCAATTAAATGTTGAAAGCGATTTATTTTATAAAATTATTACCACTATCTTAAATCGTTCCTTTTCTGCGCTCTGTTAATACTGCTTCTAAGGTAAACCCTACGGTGCACAGGGGCGCCATTATATGTCATGAGTAAGGAGTCTAAAACTGTACGCTGTTTGAAGTAGTTAGAAGTGGGGCTAGACCTCATTTCTGTTGGTTTCCTCCCTCAACCCCCCCCCCCACCCCCCCCTCTACCACCTCTCCCAGCGTGGAATTACCAGAAGTGTATGTTGGCCAGAGAATAAAATCTACTTCAAATTAATCGTATTTTAGCACCATTTTTCAACTTTTAATTACCGTAAATCAGCACTATTTTCATTCTAATTTTATACGTAATGCAAAAAATTGGTCCTTTATTTCTAGCAAAATAATAATAAACTTTCAAGTGGTGGTTAGAAGTGGTCATTGATCTCTTAAACTGGGGTGTGCGATAGACTTCACCTCCACGTGGTGCACCCTGGGCAACGTATATTCATACGGCAAAAAAGTCTATCAATGGGCAGTTGACTTCTGACTTCAAACTATCATCACCAAACTGTATGCCATATTCGACTACTTTCACAGTACTCACCTCACCTTTTTTCTACCTTCGTCTTTAAAGCACTCTTCTGTTCCTCCCCCCCCCCCTCTCGACTTTTTTTCCACTTTGATGTTCCTCCTCCTCTCTGTGGAGCCTGAAGTCAACTAAAGGGCTAATGATAACTATCAGAACGCCTGCCATTTGATATAAATATACTTGTCAATAGAACCACAAGTTGAAAAATATGAACAAAGTCACATTTATGTTAGACAAGTAGATTTCGTGAAAGATTTTTTCATTCTTTTTGGATGCTCGCTGTATTTGGTTACAGAGTATAATTGGTAGGGTCATTCCAACCCTACCATTCCATGCTCTAAGCCCCATTCCAACCAAAGTTCGAACGTTAGGAGGTACTAGAGCCTGCCCAACATTGTTAGATGCGATTGGAAGTCAATTTCACTTGGTTTTAACGGACACATATTACATGTTCTTTATCCAGAATGGAACCTAGTATAAATTCAAGTCACACTTTAAGTGTGGAGGAAATTATTCGCTAAAAATAACAGAGTAATACTTTTAAAGGCACATTCATGTGTCCAATCTTTAGTTCTACGGAAACTGATCAAGCAGTCTATGCCGAAGTAATAGTACTAGACAGGGCTTGTTCTTGTCTTTGCGTAACAAGAAAAAGCCCTCAATGTGGTCTGGTTGGAAGTTGCATGGAAAATTCAACAAAAGGGATGCCCCGCGAGGCGATTGGTAGTTGCAACTTAACATGGAAATGCCAACGCGATTGCTAATGAGTTGGCATGCATGGTTTTTCAACTTTATCCCATGGGGAATCATGCACATTCAAAGTGCTATAAATGGCAAATTTTCAAGCAATTTTGAACTTACATTCAACTAATTGGTTGTTACTTGTGTCTAACGCATCACATGCTTTATATTAATTCATGTAAGCAAGTGAATCAACACCGAGACTCCCATATATGTATATATATAAGCGAATTTGCTTATTCGTTTATTGGCAAATCACGGGCTTATGAAATGGCATTAGATCTGGATATTCCCGACACTATTAATTATATGCGCGTCGAAGGAGAATACATCGCAAAACGACTGAAATTGGACGTTCCTCCAATTCAGCTACCACATTGTGGACGTTTGTCCAATGATCAACACTTTTTGGCTACTTCGTCAGATCAAAGTCAATATCGACTCTTCCTCACCCAACGTGACTATATTGCATTCCTGCTGTAGGTAATTTACCAAACACCTTCGACAACTACTCATTTAGGAATCATTACTTCAGCGAGAAGAACATTGAACACGACCCGTATATAAGGCTCCATTTGCAAAAGTACAAGGGAGTGGAAATGGAGAGAGTGCGGAATTTTCCTTGGTTGGCGCAAATAAGTTTTCCACCTGACGAAATTATCCATGCCATCAACGCAAAGTTGCCCCACCTGAAAACATTCAAAAATGAATCCAATGTGACCTTTATCAGTCGAAAGGAAGAATGTAAGTATACGAAGATTGACAGATTTAGCTCTACTTGAAGGACAAACAAACAAAAGTAATATTATCATACATACTTCAGTTTTAGAACCATTTGGTACTCCTGAAGAGTCGTTGGCACGAAAGCTCTACTTAAACCCGTGACACTCAAATTCCTGCAAACCAGATGTTATTGCTTGCTATTATTACAAATTTCATTGATCGTTAATGGACTGTTATTTCAGATCTTACATCCTGGTTAGAGGGTTAAGCAGTGTGCAGCCTCCACACCTCTGCGATTCCTTGGAAATGGACAGAAAGCTTGTTCTTGATCTAAAAAAATGGATTGCATCCAACAGGAGGTAAACCACACAGTGGAGGTTAGTTTTGAAGCATAAAAGTAAGGTAGACCTTCTGGAGTTCAACTTCATTGAATTAATTACTGGCTTCACGGAACTTTATTTTTATGGAAATAGGTGTTCACTTTTTGCAGTTTTTGTTGATTAAAACTCACAATTGTGAGCACACCTTATTGATCGATTTACTCATTTGAAGGCTCGGACATGACAAATTTAACAAATTTATAATATTAACAAGTCCAGATTCCCCTACGTAATAACAACACCCACAAATTGCCGTATAAAAGAGGGAGGGGTGTTAATGTGCGTTGGATGGAACTTCAAAGCTAGAAATATCAACAACAACAACAAACAACTGAACTACACAACTAGAGCCTTCTATTATTTTCAAGGGGAAACTACTAGCCGTGAATCTTGAGTTGCTTTAAACTCCTCATCTCAGGGCCGCTAACTTATCCCAATGTCAGAAGACTTGCGTGAAAATTGGAAAATATTTGTATTGAGTCTAGGGGCTATGATTTTATTTGACTACATTCTAAATTAAAATGAATATCGAAGGGAGGGCTGTTTGAGTTTCGGTTTAAGCAATGATCCAGCACATGCTCATGTTTTTCTAGTCAAAATTCCTAGTTAGGGGGGAATGCATGAGTGAATGAGTTCCCCCACCCTTACACCTTGGAAACTCATGTAGTTGAGACGGCTGATTGACATAGTGATGCGAGAAAGAAAACAAGTAAGAAGTACAAAGTCAGAGAGGGGTGCGCGATAGACTTACCTCAACGTGGTGCATACTTGGCAACATATGCTCATATGGCAAAAAAGTCTATTAACCGGCAGTTGATTTCTCACTTCAAACTATCATCACCCGACTGAGTGTCATATTCGACCCCTTTCACAGTACTCACCTAACCCTTTCTCTGCCTTTGTGTCTGTCTCTTTGACATCTTTGAAACACTCTTCTGCCCCCCCCCCTCTCCTCTTTTTCACAATCTGATGTTTCTCCCCTCTATGAAGCCCGACGTCAACTAAAGGGCTAATGATAACTGTCAAAACACAGTACTCACCTTACCCTATTTTCTTTGTATCTGCCTCTCTTTCATCTATGAATCACACTTCTGTTCCCCTCTCCCTTCGACTCTTTGTGACTGAAGTTTCTCTTCCCTTCTGTAAAATCCGAAGTCAGTTAAAGGGCTAATGATAATTATGACAAAGACTCCCATTTGAAATAAATATATAGTTCTCAATGAAC